TCAACGTAGCAATTGCTGCCATCAAGACCAACCGATCCCTCCAGTTTGTTGACTGGTGTCCAACAGGCTTCAAGGTGAGCACACCATGAGCTTCTCTTTAATGTTTAAAGGGCAAGTTCAGCCTAGCGGAAAACTTTTAGCGTTTTAGACCTTGTATGTTTCCCACTTCTGAGACAAATGGACATAAGAAAGGTGCATTTGTATAAAATGTGCCTTTTCTCCTTTGGTCATCCCATTGACACGGACTCCCAAATATTTGAATGAATGGAAGCATACATCATATTTCTATACTCAGTAACAGGAGAATGTCAACCCTATAAGACTTTAAACCTAAAGAAATTGCATTTTAGAAGAAAGATCAAGGTAAGGGTTATACTCTGAAGACACTGAGACACTTGAGAGTGTCCTTCATGAAACTTAAAAAAAAAACCCAAACCAACCAAGCAAAAACCCCAGAAGTTATCAATAATATTTAGTTGGCAAGTGAAACATTTCTACATCATCTCCACAGAAGGATATTTCTTTTTTCATTGTCCACAATTTTTCCATGTATACTGACATGTTTTTATAAGTCTTTCTTAATTTTAGAATCCAGGTCCAGTTAATCTCCCTTTTTTTTTTTTTTCTTTTCCTTGAATGAGGGTAAGGAATTGACTCGTGCACAAAAAAGTAGCTTGAATGACATTAGACTTAACACTGATGTAATCTGGGTTTTTTCCTACCTCTTTTCCTCCCCCCACCAATGATTTTACAGTTTTCTTACCCTGTTCATTGTCTAATTTTGTCCCTTTTCTCACGACTCTTGTCATTCCTCCTCTTTTCTTTTGTTATTTGTAGGTTGGGATCAACTATCAGCCTCCTACAGTTACACCAGGAGGAGACCTAGCCCAGGTTGAGCGAGCAGTCTGCATGCTGAGCAACACCACGGCCATTGCAGATGCCTGGGCAAGGCTTGACCACAAGTTTGATCTTATGTATGCCAAGAGAGCTTTTGTGCACTGGTATGTTAGTGAAGGCATGGAGGAAGGAGAATTCGCAGAGGCCCGAGAAGACCTGTCTGCCCTGGAGAAGGACTATGAAGAAGTGGGAACTGACTCATTTGAAGAAAATGAGGGAGAGGAATCTTAAAATTCACTTTGCCCTTTCCTGTGCATAAGATTGTCTCTATGTCTCTTTTTTTCATATGGCTGCATTTCTGCTTGGGTCTCACACACCTAGTCCACTGCCATTTTAGTAGACTATAAACAGGATCAGCTCTCCACTATGAGGTCACAAGACAGTAAATTCAGGATATATGACTAGCTAATCATTAGCCACTTTGCCTCAGAGGGTGACAGGCTTCATATTTTTTGCTAATATATCCTGAAAGATCTCTGTCATCTATACTGTCATTTACTCAATACAAAGATATAGTCATGTAACTGTAATATTATTTGAGGAACTCCTGCTTCAAAATAATTGCTACAAACACTGTGTAAGGAGAAGTTACTGACAGTGCTCAGTCTTTATTTCATATTAATTCAAAACATAGTGTTTGTAAAGCTGTAAGATGTGGTGAGAACTCTCTTGGTGCCAAGAACACACAGCATGTGCTAGTGCCCTTGCTTCTACAGAATCCACAGTGTGAGGTGGTTATAAGGTGTGATTTTTCCAGCTGCCATGAACAGGGGCACAATTCAGGTACTCTTAGCTTCAATGGGAGTTTAGAGCACACTATGCTTGTGCAGCAACTGTGTAACAAGCATAACTGAACTGGTCTGGAGGCACAAGTATGCTGGCATGTGTGCATGTAACTGCTAAATGAACATCATCTATGACAGAGTAAAGGGCCTTAAAATGACCAGCATGCAGGATGGAAGCATTACCAGCTCCATCAGGTTTATGATAAATCAGAACTGTGACAAAAAAAATGTGTGTGATTAGGTATAGATGGGATGTCTAAGAACACCAGCTATGACTTCACAGCTTAAGTCTTCACAAGATATATTTTTGTGTATTTCTATTGTCTGAATATTTTAGAACAATATATTAAGGCAGGCAGGCAGGTGGCCTGAGGTTAAACTGATGGAATAACAAGAGAAACTGTTGGATGTTGCAGACAATGGAATAGGAAAAGTGGCTGGCCAACCCTGACCTGCATCTAAACTAATGAGGTAATGGCAGGAGAAGCTACTGGGTGTTACATGTAGTGAAAGGGCAGTTTTGGGGACACCTAAGATAAGATATAAACAGACTTAAGTGAAGGGGTGTTGGTGTACTGGGGGTACTAAGTAAAGCTGAAATTACCAAATAAAGGTGTAAAATTAGCAGAACAGAGCCAGTGGTAGAAAAAGTGTGTGGGGGTGTGTGTCTGTTTAGGAGGGAAGGAAAGCAAGAAAAAGGTAATAGAAGGTAAGGAAGATGGTGTCTGTTTGGGGGTACCTGTCAAGCAGCCATGTGCTTGAACGATACCTGGAGCAAGACAACAAGCCTCTTGTGCTAACCTTGCCACGTGTGTCCAACTTGCTTGTCAGCTCATGGTTATCATCTCGAAGGTTTCCCTTAGCACTGCTGAAGATACACCCTGGAGGGGATGGAAGATGGACCAAATGTATACCACTGTTATTTTAATACTAGATTTATTACTGAACTTTCATAAATGGATTTCTTTTTTTAAAAAAATCCAGGTTTTTACTGAAACATATATTCAGCACATACAACTCCAGCAGGGCTACAGAAATGCATTATGTTTTGCCCAGACTGTTAAGGAGTGTTGTCCCCTTTCTGGTAGCTCAGTATGTATTAGGATTGCTAAAAGGTCATAAAAAAAGGCAGGCACATCCAGAAACGTCACTGATGTAGTTTGCATTTTTATCTGCAGAATGAATGGCTGGTCTTTATATTAATAACTATAGTTTTGAACTTGCTGTATTAGAGAAGATAATTCTGGAAGTCCAAATCTAATGCCATAATTTTTAACACATACATAGAAATTTTGTATATGACAATCCTTACCAAAAAGGAAATAACTCCTTTGAAACTGTATCCCAAGATGTACTTAATTTTTCTTTATTTAAAAGTAATTTTAAAAATACATAGTACAGTTTTCTGTTTCAGTGATAATGCCTGAAAGCCAATCTTTTAATAATATAGCAGAGTTTTATGTTGATACAGAAATACTACACTTTAGGCTGATTTCAGAAATACCTGAAACGAGATGCTGTCAATTCTCCCAGTAGGTGGCAACAAAATGATAGAGTGGACAGGGGACACAGGGAAGCATTTATATCTTCATTCACCCAGGTAAGAAGGTACTATAATGGGTAGGAAATGCAAAGACTTTCATACACAAAATTAAAAGTGAAATAGGTTTTTGTATGATCAACAAGTAACTTCTTAGGAGTGCACTCTTTTGTAAGATGGCACATTACTGTTCTAAAATAATCCACAATTCTGGCACTATTGGCAAGTTGCTTAGATAACCGATCTGTAGGGAGTGATGTATATCTGGCAGAGGAGATAAAGCAGCTAACTGTCCCTCATTTGCCTGTGACATTTTTGATCTTTAGTCAGAACAGAACTGATAGACCACAGGACTTAAGTGGTTCTCTTGGCCTAAGATCTGGTGGACAGTACTTCTACGCTCTAGATTATTAAAGAATGCTGTTTTCAGAGACATGTCTATTTTTAAATAGAGAAAAAAGGTCTAGGTTTTGTACAGCAATGTTAGAGGGATTTAAGAAAAAAAACATTAAGAGGCTGATCTTTATAGAATCACAAGCAATTGGAGACAATAACTCACAACTCCACTGCTCTGTTGTATTGCTCTGGAGGGCACCTACACCACCACACCCAGTCCATGTGCACACAAGAAGCCCTTTGAGCATATCCAGACCATCCCAGTTGCATGCAAGCTGCACATCACTCCGAGGAGCATGGGCTATTTGCAAGCCCTCTGGCAGTACCAGCAAAGCCACTCTAGCACTCATGCCAAAGTCACTTATTTGCACACCTCGGGGCTTCATGGCAGAGTTTTTTTACAATGAATCATCCCTATTTAGCTCTTGTCATCATCTACCAGTGTTGCAAGGTAAAAGCTGAAGTGGGCAGGTCTTGTCCAGGCCGCTGAGCTATCAATCAACCCTCCCCATGCAGGGTCTGTCTCAAGACTGTTCCATGCAGGACAGAGAGGTGCCCCTATAAGCTCACCATCTGCCCACACAGGTTGAATGCCAGCATTGAGCAAGATGACTTTCTTTCAAACATGCCAGGTCCAGGCCATATCTGCCTCATGTCTCTATGGAGTAGAGCCTGCAGGCCAAATTTGGAGTCAACAAAACTCACCGGACCACAGTCCCACACTGTGCTTTGAGGTTACCCTCTAAATCTATGCTGAGAGTTTTCTGCCTAAGCGCTCAGCAACACAGATGGACAAGAGCAACATAAAGAAACCTCATGAAAAATAGTATGCCCAAATCTTTCTCAGGGCTTTTACGTCTGTGTCTGACCATCACCCCAAACTAGCACGTATTTTCAGCATTTGAGTTTATGGGCTATGTCAAGGCAGAGCAGGTGAAGTACTGTTGTTGGTCTAAAAGAGATCCGCAATAGCCTTTTTCTTAGCTGTGCATCTGTGAGAAAGGGTGAAACAGTAACCTGGGTAATCCCCAGGCTCTTCAAGCTCAAGTGACTCCAGAGAGAAGGGACACGGCTCAAGACTCTGTCACTCCCTGCTCCCTCGGAGTTTTTAACTGGTGAGACGCTGTTCAGTGTGGCAACCCAACACTGGTGAGTCCATGGGTTCTGGGACAGTTGAGTTTGAATGAGGTGGAGGGAGGAATGATTAACGCCAACTCCCAGAGGTGCTCTCACTGCGTATTTCAGAAGAGAGGAAGGGGGGCAATGGAAAAGCAGAGAAAATGCAGCAATGGACTAAGCTGCAAATAACTTACTAATTCACAGAGCTCTTTCAGGTTTTGGAGCTGCTAGATCTGACATGTTGACTCAAAGAGTGCCTAGGAGGATTTGGGTGGCAGATTGCTCAAAGTATTCACTGTGAGGCTTTTTCCTGAGGTGATTCTTTGCACAGAGCTCCACATCTGGTGGAGCTGCTTTCAGATTGTCTGGAATGCCGGAGCTTGGCTGGAATGTTACCAGTTCTATCCTATTCCACACTAGAATAACCTATCTCTCAGTCTCAATGGTTTTCTGGAGAAATGTGGGATTCGTATAGCTTAAACAAAGCAGCAGACAGAAATTATCATGGGAATTCTTCCTCTGTAAAAAATATTTGTGGCTCCAGAAATGTCTGTAGCTTTTCCTAGTCAAAATCAAAGAGCAGTGATTTGCAGTTTTATGTAAAGATCAGCAAAATGAAGCCTATATATACCAAAGTAAATGTGAGTTTATAAAAAACAGTATGAATTATTTCACACTGTTAAAATGTAGGCGTGCGTTAGAGAAGATACTTAGATGCTGGTTGCTAACAGTGGCAGAACAATCTATTAATATGATCATGTCAAAGCAGACGAACCTAAACTTTAGGAATTTAAATTTCTGCTGATTAAACATAATAATAAATGGTATGTTTATAAAGTCAGGGAATACATAATACTCAGATTCAAACCATTAAGTGTGCCTTCCTTGTTGTTACCTAGGAGTTGCAAACATGAGGATTTCTCCACTGAGAGAAACTGCTGCTTTCCAATGCTGATCTACTGCAGAAGGAGCAAACAATAAAGTGGTGGAGGCACTGCCCTAATTTGGTGTGAGAACATTTGTGTGATGCCTCCAGCTATGTCGTGCAATAAGCACTGCAGTGAGAATCAAATTTCTGTCTGTGTTTGGACAGAGGAGTTGGGAGTCTGTACTGAATACTGCCCCATACTGCTGACAGCCCAGATGACTGTGCACCAAAAGAGAAGCAATAGAAGTAAATTGAAACATTGAGAGGCAGTTGGAGTAAGGACAGAAAGAAGTCAGGCCAGCATTCAAGAACTCTGGTAGAACACACTTCAGAATGGTAATTATATTTATGTTCTAGTTCCCTATTTTTGGTTTGTCTTCTATCTTTCTCCTTTTCATTCATTTGCTTTCTTAACACCCTCTTGGTGTTCTGTACTGGAATTTTGAAGTGATTTTTGTCTACG